CATTAGTAATTATTATTAATCTTCATAAAAGGCATGCTCATGCTCTATAAATATACACACACACAAACCACTGCACCATATGCTGGCAGAAGTTCACACCATCTCTCCCAACATGGTGAACGCATTTGTACAAACAGTGAAATTGATACAGAAATTACGAAGCTGAAAATTCATTCGAACAAGTTATATAGGGTTACAGAAATCAAAACTGGCAGGCATTTATCAAACAGGCATGTGGAATTGAGCAGGTTGTATAGCTACTCATCTTCAACCTCCTTTTGACAAATCGGGCATTGCTGCATAAATACATAAATTAAAATTATATTATTTAAAGAAAAAATAAAAAAGTGAACGGCAGACATATATCACTACACGAGTAAGAAGAGCATGTCATCTACAATTTCCAATCCTAAAGCATGATACTCCTGCAGTGATGTTTGGAATTTATTTTGAACCAAGGGAAAGGTAAAATAAAACTTAGCCTCGATTTCAATATAAGTAGTTTTTATAGCAAACAAACCAAGGGAGTTGAATATTTATCAAAACATACTCACTAGAGAGTGCAATTTTTTTGTATAGAAGTAAGAAATGGTTCTCTAGGCATTTGACTGTAAAAGACAACTTTATTCCTCTCAGATTAGCTTACATATGGGTGGATAGTTTTGTAATCACTCGAAGTCAAGCTTACTTTATTTTGTTGCAACCAAGGAGTGATACACTGCGAATGATACTGATGCGTGCAAGGAAGAGTAGTCAACTTAGCTCCATTTTTGTATTCGGAGCAGCATATGACGCACCTAAATATTGCAAATATTAGCAAGTACATAATCTCAAACAAGTTTTGTACTTTCAAGTGTTCAAGATCGTAACTTTATGCGAGACCAAGAAAGCTAATGCCTAAACAAACAGGTGTATAGGCATAAATTAACAAACGAAAAGAAACAATTTCTGAATTTAATAATAGTTTCCAGAGTAAGGAAAGTAAGTGCTTACTTTGTGTACTCTTTAACAAATGGACAGAACATACAAATCCAGGGAGGAGAATATGCATAATTACTCCAAATTTTATTTACAATTTTCACACCGGACCTTAAGAGAGATATGTTTATTAGCAAAATGCCAACCTCAAGGGAAAGCTCGCAACTAACTCTGTTAAATTAGATCAACCTTGAGGATTATTAATTTAACCAACCATGTAATCAATATGTGAAACAATGTGGTTACGCACGCGTTAATATTTCTATTGCATTTCCTATATTTCACATTATTTGCAATAAACAAACATGTACTCACACATATCACTTGAAAACTTCTCTAAACACCTAGAATTTAGGTTACAGAAACATACTCTTCTTTTTCTTTCTTTTTCTTTGAGAAGAAACCAACTTTGTATTTGAATGTCGGTAACCGAGAAATGATATCTGCCGAAAGCCCTCTGCTCTCTATTCCAACAGATTCTCCAAGTGATTGCAGTTCCTAAAGTTTTGTTAAAAACATCCCTATGCTGTGATTCTTTATATTGGAAATGAAAAAAATTAAAAGTACCAAAAATATATAAAGAATTGAATTATACAAGTCACACGACCCAACCTCATAGGTCATTGTATCAGGATCAAACTCGTCTTGCCTTATGTTTCGACTCTCACTCTGCGTAGTTAGAACATAGAAAAGGTAATTGATAGAACATAACATCATAAGCTCATGAAGTAATAACCAAGATAAAAAGAAGAGTAGACAGTACCTGGTTTGGCAATTCTCCAACAGTTGATCCTGTGGATCAATAGACATCATAATATTCCCAGGATCAGGACATAAAAAAGCAACATAAAGAGGATCAACTTGATGTCAACTTTCAGGTAGCAATACATAACTATTACAAAACCTATCCTTACAGTTTGGCCCAATTGCTGAAAATTCTATTATGTTTTAATAACAAAAATCTTTAATGTATTACATATGGATGATCACAAAGGCCCACCATGAGGTTGTACACTCTAACCAGACACAAACATCAGGGTCGCTTTTGTACTTATGACAGATAAGCTTTTGTAACCTCCCAACCCTCTGCATTTTACATTCCTATTCATTAAGAATTATAAGGTCAAACGAACTTGAATAGCATCTCATAGTTTCCGTGACATATTACTTGGGTTTGAATTTAGTCTGTTCGTTAACTCATGCCAACCAGAGTGTAAAAAGTGCAATTTTATAGCAATGACATCCAAATGAGGCATCAAAAAGCGCTAGCTGCTACTTCCACTTATAATTCTGTACAAACAATAATACAAGAATAATAATCAACAAATTCGAAGCAATTATCATTAGTTTCAAAAGGTACCGTTAAACTTTAGCCTACCCATGTTTGTTTGTTTGTTTTCAAATATCTTTTAACGATATGATACGAAGAATTCCACGGGCATTATACTGATTTCTCAGGTAAGGAAATACAATATACATATTTTGCATCCTAATCATATCTTCAAGAAAAAAGTTATGATAATAGGCATTTCTGACATGATTTTTTGTTATCTTGGAACTTTTTATGAAACGAGATCACGTGTTAAGAGATGGGACGTATTACCAACAGCACTGGCACCAGGTTCCTGAACATCGAAATTATAAAAGTCATCCCCCAGCTCCAAGGCCCTTGCTAAGTCTTCATCGTGAGCCAATTGGTGCTCGGCACTTGTCCCACGTGATGATGACTCATTCTCATGCAACGAAAGTGAACTGGTGTTGCTTGTTTCACCATAGCTTGAAGCCATGCCCCTGTTCTGTTTATTGACCTGAATATACTGAAACGCGCTTTCCTGTTTTTTTTTTTTTTCAAAATCAACATTAATGAGGTTCTTAGAAACAAATCCAAGTACGGGGTTGGGTGTCTTTTAAAAGTGCCGTTATTTCAACGGAAAAGGAAGTAGTTGAGAATTTGAAGTTGGTGGTGTCTGCAGATAAATGATGAAATTCGATTCAAATAACAAGGAAGTTCTGGTCGAGGAGTCGAAAAGGTCATATCGCAAGTAAAAATCAAAATCAAACTAGAAGTAAAATTTAAAGTCTAGCACTCATCCCTTGGTTACTAGATGAAACAGAATCAGAAATCGCCAGCATTCACAGACAGTTGAATAGTAAATTGTAGTTTTACCAGGCTAAAGCCTAAGTATCACTTCATTTTTTTTCTTTCTTTTTTTTTTTTCTTGAATAGCATTTACAATTCAACTAAGTGGAGACGTGCTTTATTTGTGGTCCAAAAATTAACNAAAAAGTCACACTTCTATTTATATTATTTTTTAGAGAATTTGACACTGCAGTTTGAAAGTATGCATATCCATTGAAAAAGTATGGCTACCGAATCATTTGGCCATCCTAACAGCCTTACTGTTCTTCTAAAAATTTTTATTGTAGAATTACAACATGGACAAAACATTTAGAAACATCAAACTGACAGTATTCCTCTTTTTATTTCTTTATTTGTTTTTTTTCCTTTTTGTTCAGTTTCAGTATACCTGCATTAGAAGAACTTCTTCAATGTTAAGGTCACCAAATTCTGGACAAATATCCTTAACATGTTCGGCAATTTCATCCGGTGTCATTCTGGTCAAATAATGGTTATCGTCATTCATAATTCCGGACATCATCCAACTGCAGCTTTCCCGATGAATTCTTTATGCATCCAAAATTATCCTCTCTGTGAATATAAGTAAAGAAAAGAATGATATACCATTTATGAAGTATGGTAAGGACTAAAGATTATCCTATACCTCATAAATAAAACAGTCTCCAAAGAAGCTGCTCAGGGGTGTACAATTTATTTTGAATTGAAGGAAAATAAAAAATGAGATTGAAGTCTGAAAAAAATCCTGTTAATTTTAGTGACAGTATGAAAAACCAACCCAAAACAGAGAAAGGCTTGAATCAATCAATGAATATAGGTCATTATATAAAGCGAAGAGCGTTTACGCAAAAGCATTTGAATTAATTACAGTAATAAGGTTTAACACACAAAAAACCACATGAACATCATATGGTAATACAATCAAACAACTCTATTAAAATACTAGAATCCTACACAAGTGGACATTAAAATTGAGCCAGAGAATAAGATTTAAGAAAAAACTATTTCTGTAAATAAAAGGCACTGATATTCTTCAAATTTATCCAAATAAAACTCAATTAAAATGATTTCCTGGAAGATATTTTACCCTAATCTATAAACACTAACAATGGTCCTCTTTTCCCCCCACAAATGAGGGAAGGTCATCACTTGACCAAATCAGTAAGCATAGCACTCTTCTTGACATCTATTTATTTTCTCCCCACAACTAAAGTGAAATCTCTCATGCCACTCAATCATGAGCTACTCGACAACTAAAGATTTAAAAATACAGTGAATCGGAAAATTGACCTTTGAATTTGCATGAAATTGGAGAAAATGGCTTGGTGATTTTTTACCTCCTACTTGGAAATTTCAGAGTCGGCGAGCGTGCTGTGTAGCAAGTAGCAAAAGAGTGAGACGATAAAGAAGAAAGGAGTAAAGTAAGGACACAATATAATTAAATATAATAAAATCTAGAAATGTGCTCAAAATGAGAAAGGAGCATAATGAAAGAAGTCAGAATGAATGTGATCCATTGGGTCAGAATAAATCTGATTTATTGGATACATCGTTTAATGGTCATGATCAAGTCAAACTTTAATAAATAATGGTCAATTATTAATGATAATATGATAAATAAATAGATATATAGTAGTCAAATATACACTATTTATCACTAACTAAGGGTAAATTAGTCATTTATCCACTCAACCCATCTACCCTATCTTTTTATCTCTCACACACACAAACATACACACAAATCACACACTTCTCCACACACGCGTGGAACACTCACTCACACACACACACACACACACAGCCACTTGCTCTGCTGCCATCTGCCACATGCTCCGTAGCCGGCAAGTCCTGTCGCCACTACAAGCTCGGTTGGTCACATTGACATCGCCACCACAACCCGTCGCCATCACGACCCGAGTCACCATCAACAACTTGTTCTGCCGCCGTCACAAGCTGAGCCACCATCAGCAACCTGCTCCTACGCCGAACACAACCGAACAACCACAGCCGCCGCGCCTCCGCCGACCGTAGCCTGAGACAGTCCTTGTGCACAGTTCCTCCCCTCCATTGCAGCTTCGTTGCCCGACTCTAAGATTCCGATGAGAGGCCACCGCCTCAACCGCGACAACCACCATTCCGCCGCCAACGAACGAGACATTAACTGAACCTCCGCCAGTTCCCGCCTTGCTTAGCGGCCGCCAGTCGCCAGTCCCGCACACACGGCTCAACTCGGCGTTGGTCGACGATTTTTGTCACTTGAATCGGAGTCTCTGGTCTCGAGATTCTCCTGTTGGCGGGATGATGTAACTGACTCTACTGATGAGGATGCACGTTGGCGGCAATATGGTGAAGGTGTGTTTATGACGTTGTGGCGGGGGTGCAGATTAGATTTAGGGGTATGTTAATAAAAATTAGATAAATTGTAAAGATCATTTTGTAATTTTTAAGAACTTTAATTACAGTTTTAATTAATTCACGTGCAATATATATAAATTATAAAAAAAATATAATAAATGCAGAATAAAAACAACTAAATTGTACACTATCTGCATGGAAAAAATATGAATGTAAAAAAATATATTTAACAAAATAGCAATTTTTTTATGTTTCGATCATGTTGTTGTTGTTGTTGTTTTAAATTGGAGTTGATATCGAGATTGTTCAATCTGATTGTCATTAATATGAAATTCGTCTTTTTAAATTGGAGTTGATATCGAGATTGTTCAATCTGATTGTCATTAATATGAAATTCGTCTAACGTTATTATGCACTGATTCAGTCGCTATTATGCAGTCTGAACCGATCGACGTTTGTCTCAAACCAAAATGAAACTAAACGAATTACTGGGTTTATCAGATCGGTTAACTGAATTACTCTAAATATTCAAAAGAATTTATTTTTTACATTATAAAGAAATACGTAGTATTTTAATAATATTATACCATTTTTGTGAAAAGTAATAATATGTTAAAAACCAAAATCGATAATGTGCATACCCATTGGCACTAATGTGCATTTGGTCTAAAATTAATGTGCAGTCAGTTGTGGGGCAATTTTTATAATTTTTATGTGCATTTTAATCGTAAAAAAATTTGATAATGTGTATTTTAATTAACTTTATTATGCATTTATTAAATTGTTTATATAATAAAAATTATTTAGTATTTATAAATTTTTATTTAATATTGTACATTATTGTTTGTTTGAAATAAATAATATACATATAATATAAAAATAATATTTTTTATATAATTCGATCAGTTCGGGTATTTTTTTTAGTCGAAACCAGACTGAAATAACCAAACTTTTAATATATGTGAGCATGCACATTGTTATGCTAATGTAAATGTGCATTCTCAAACGTGTTAATGTGCATTTGGTATAACAATATTGTGTACTCTGATATATGCTAATGTAAGCGTGCATTCTCAGATGTGTTAGTATGCATTTGGTATAACACTATTATGTAGTCTAATAGTCACTAATATGCATTTTGTTTAACAATATTGTCAGTATAAGGTTTTTTATGTTGATTCATTTTGGTAAACCGAATTAACCTATGCGATCGAAACAATTTAACATTTATATTATAATAAATTATGTATTAATTCAATATTTATTTATTATTTTATATTATTTTAATATTTTACATTATTTTTTATTTAATATTTTTTTCAATTTGTGTACCCATAAGAACAATTTTTTTTTATTCATAATTATTTTATAATTATTAATTTTTTAGTAAATTATAGATTTGTCCCATGAACTAAATTTTTAGAACTAAAATTCTTAAGACTGCATATAAGTCCTTGATATTTATCTAATTTTCAAAAGGAAGGCCCACAATTCTCACAACAACAACAGTCTCGTCGCCCGATTCATCATCTCGGCACCGCCGTCGTCTAAACTCGCCATCACCGGCTCCAGAAATTGGATTGTTGTGGCGCTGCACCGTCATCGTCCGATTTTGCCATCTCCGACAACACCAATTGTGTCGTTTCCATCCTGCCTCGCTGCACACAGATGTGCAGGCCGTCTCGCAGCGACCGTGATCAACCATGTCCCGAACGACTCCAGCTCGGCGAGATCAGGGACTGACCGGATGCTCGACGTTGGCGGCATGTCCCGGATGCGATCTGCCATGTCCCGGACTCCGTCGTGGGTGGCGGCTCTGGCGGTGGCTGGATGCTCGATGTGTTTGGTTTTATTAGGACCGTCGACTAAGTGCACATTCAAATCTATTGAAAAATAAATCCTAACGCAACGGAATCTCTAGTTAGGATTAGGACTTACAGTTTAAATTTTTGCCGACTCCGAGACGTTTCTGATTTCCACTGTAGGAGATTGTCTGAACCGCAGAGTCCATTGGGGAGCCAGACTTGGCCTCATCAATGCATTTCCGGTCATTTCGGGATACTCATCCCGAAATCATTATGTCGGATACTCATCCGCCTGAAGGCTTGACATAATATTCCTTCTTGAACTCATTTCGGGAACGTCATCAACCGAGCTCACTTGGACATAATGACCATAAATAATCTATAACAACACATCATATAAACGCCATCATTTACCAAAATACCGAGTATGCCATACTAGCAAAATAAGAATCACCCTTGCTAAATCAAATAAACAAGTAATGAATATATATGCACGTTTTATACTATCATACAACTTAAGAGTATGCATCAATTACTGAAGGTCTAGATTATAATTGCGATCAGTAAATCTTATAATCTTATCCTTCCGCGGTCCTGTTCAATACTTAACATAGGTACTAGTGTAATCCTTCAGTCAAAGACCAACTAAAGCAAGACTGTACAGTCTTTTGCCAACAGATGTCTCAATGTATGTCCAGACTGTGAACAGTTAGTTTATCTTACAACGAACCGATATATGATCTTTATGTTCGACACATCAAACCATACCATCTACAATGTAAGATAAATGAGTATGATTGCATAAATAAACAAACTGCAATCATAAGTACTTTGACTAAAACATGACTGCCATATCAAAATGGAATTGCTAGAATCTGAAAGCTAAACTTTTACAACATATCCTAACACGACGTTGGACGTGGAGCAGTCGGTCGATGGCGGGAAGGGCGGCAGATGTGGCAGTGGTGTGTGTCAGTGTGTGTGAATGTGTGTCAGCTGATGTGTGTGTGTGTGTGATCTAATGGTTACGATTTATTCTTATTTCTTTCAATGAACATCATTCTCACTGGAGCGTGACCCATAATATATATATATATATATATATATATATATATATATATATANGGCAACACATTTAATAAAATCTTTTGGTTTACCCTCCATTTTTCGTTACGTTTTGTATTTATCACATAATTATCTATTTTATTTATTTTATTACATGATAGCTATTACTAAATGATCATAAAGTTGCATTAAATAATATTTTATTCTTTTTTAAACTATTCATTTAAAATTATTTTTTTTAGTTCCCTAAACAAGTTTTTTTAAAAAAAAATTATTTAATTTTTTATGGCATAACAAGACTCCTTAAAATTCTGTAAACAATTGGTACAATAATAGTTTTAATATTATATTATCCAATTGAATGATCATGAGTAGCTAAGATTGCAAAATTTACATTATTACAATCAACAAAATATTAATATATAAGTAAATAGTTTATATTCATATCCTTAATCTTTACTAATGATAAAATTGATAAAATGGGGTATGTTCATTATCTTACTTATGATTTTTTTTTCATGTAAAATTTTAACGTTCAATCCTTACATATTAGTTCCATATGCACTTGTTGATATCAGGATTAAATACCATGTGACAAAGGATAGATTAAAGATTTCATAAAGGCCAAACCACGAACCAGGTCTTTGACAATGAAATTTGAAATGATTGGCACCTCAGAAATATCACCTCGGTTCTCAAACGACGTCCAAAGACAAACAATAACTCCCTAAGGTCGTCATGATAAAACGCTAAAACCTCGAGATTGCCACCTCGGTTATAGAGCAGCTTATCGGAGGTCATGGAAGACTAAAATTCTATCGAAAAGCCGACGTCGCGAATAACACCGACTTCAACCCGACAGAAGTGACGCTTGTCACACAGGTAGAGGAGCGCCCATGCTCATCATTACCTAAAAAGCTCGCCTACGTCATTGCCGCCCCTAAGCCGTCAAATCCTCATTAAATAAAGCCAATTTATCTTGGGAGTTGTGCCAAGCATAACTATAAATAACAGCATTAAAGACAATACGAGGATTCGCCTCGAAGACAGAAAAACTCCTACATTTATTAACTCGGTTTTCTCTGCTACCGACTTTGTGTACTAAGAATAACCGACCTTCCAATTCTGTAACCGACTTCAATATCTTCAATAAAAATCATATTTGCTGCAATCTTTACTGTACTTTTTACCTTAATTACGTTGGTTAAATCCGTTTATCAACATTTTGGCGCTAGAGGAAGGGCCCCATAAGATATTTGGGGTTAATTTTTGAGATAAAAAATACACCACATTTCAAAAACAAAGAATGTCGCAATCCGGACAGGATAATCCGACGACCATATGAAGCGCCGTTCGCGTTGTGGAGGCACCTACCGGTCAACACAATCCAGTACCTGTGATGCCGGACCTCACCACGCTCATGCAGAACCCGGAATTTACCCGGGGGCTCACTGCTTTGCTGGCTCAAACCATGCCAGGGCCATCACAAAGAGTGCCGGGACAATCCCTTGCCCCGATAACTCCGGCAAGACAACGAGTCCCCCCCCATACAAAGGGGTGACAACAATCAAGCTGTGTCACATGCAACTTCACAACCACGCAACAACAATCCACCACCCCCTTCGGCGGACAACGCACTTCCGACAGAAATGAACCTGCCAGAGATAAATCAACCAGAGATGACCGCTGAAAGTCATCCTGGACACGTTCCCAGGGTTCCCCATGCAGTCCGGCCACTGTTTCAACAACCCGAAAACCCGGCTGACCTGTGACAACAAATTGAGTGTAATCGTTGCGCTCGACGTAACATTTCCGAAGTAGAGGCATTAAGAAGGAAGGTGGCAGAGTTGGAAGCCCGACAGGCTACTCAAATCAGGCCTTTTCCGCATCCCCGTGTGTCTGAGCCGAATCATGCCTATGTGGAAGTTGGTTC